GAGAGCTGAACAGCACCGTCTGTGGAGAAAGACTGTAGATGTGCAAACACAAGCACACAGTTGGGATTATAAAAAGAAATGAAAAAGTTAAGATTCAACAGTTCCAATGACTGTGATAAGAGGAAGAATTGAAGATAACATATCACTCACAGCATAACAGCCGACGATATCCCCCTCTGAGAACGGTTCTCCAAACTCTTCCTCCTTCCCACCTGAGACTTTTTTACCGCGTCCATCATATGCAAAAGAAAATTCATCTTCACCTGGTATGAGACAGACAGAGAGCCAGAGGGAGAAAGACGACAATGAACGTAACAGGACTGAACACATCTCCAGAGAAGGTGCTTCTGTTCTGATCACTTCTCCTAAAATGAATCTAATCCTCACCCAGCAGCAGAGAGGCGTCGGCCACAGACCAGCCGACTCTCAGACCATGATGATCGTCTTGTCCCTCCAGCTGTGTAGTCAACAACGTCCTCTCCAGCCTCACTTCAAAGCCCACCCTGCCCTGCAGCACCCCGTGGGTGAGCCTGCAGCCTGACCACAGCAAGGGGAACCGAGCCCAGAACCGCGGCTGGCCACATGCACCATCAGGACCCACCTCAAAGTGGAGGTGACTGTCATCTGTGCAACAACAAGGAACGACAGGGATAAAAAAATGCTTCTGCACTGCTCTCATGACTTGTGACAGAATTAACCAATCATAGTTTAAAACACTGTAACTACATGAGGTTTGTTTCTACAGAGAGGTGATGCGTGTTGTCCAAAGACTTACATGGATTGAGTCTGACTTTATCTTCATCTTCCTCTTCTGCCTCCACTCTGTCCACTGGAGGTTCTGGTGATTTGGCTCTGGTTCAGAAGAGATAGAGACGCATGCTGCTTAATAAAACCCTCTCCATTAAAGAGCTTCCTCTTGTAGTCTCAGTCACCTGTTTTTCTTTTGTTCTAGACTATGTAAATTCTGTGATTATGTGATTTATGAACTTGACAAAAGGTCTGAGAACTGATATGAACATTTACCATAACAATATTTAGGGTCTCTTGATTTTTCATAATTTAATTCTTCACAGTCAGACATATTGGTTTTTATCTCTCTTTTAGCAAGCACTTCACTTCTATTGAAGTTTCCCGAGGCTTCATCTATTTTCCTGCGGCTTAGAGATGTTACAGCTTTTGTGAAGTTAGAAATGATAAGACTATGCTTAAAGGATTCTTATTTTTCTCTCTTTAACTTTTTACACTTTCAATTTTCATACACGTTACAATAACAACTAGTACAAATGATATTTTCTATACAGAGACAATGTTTTGTTGTACTTGTCTGGTGGGTAAGGTCCCCTGTAAGGCCATCTCAACATAAAAATGAGAGACTTATAATTTTATACTTATGCTTTTATTTAGTATTAATTTATTTAGTATTTCCAATAAAAACATTTATAAAATAGTACAGTACAAGTACCGCAACATTAGGGCTGCAGTTGGGGATTATTTTCATTGTTGAATAATCTGTATATTATTTTCTCGATAAATCAATACATTTTTTGGTCTATCAAATGTCAGAAAATGGTGAAAAACTTCAATCTGTGCTTATGCCAAAGTCTCAGATGACGTCCTAAAATGACTTGTTTTGACCATATCCAAAGATAATCAATTTAGTTGCATAGAGGAGTCGAGAAACCGGAAAATATGCACATTTAAGAAGCTGGCATCAAAGAATTTTGACTACCTATTGATCAATTATCAATTTAGTTGGTGATTAATTTAATGGTTGAAAACTAATCAATTAATCATTGCAGCTCTACTCCAAATTGTACTTTCTACTTCTGCCCCACATAAAACTGATGAAAACACTTGACTAACAGTCTACCACCTGTTATAAATGTTTATTTCTAACATATAGGCCTACTTTAAGTGTATTAGTACTCTTGAAGTGTACTTTAAAGGGGAACACCACTTAAAGTTAGAATTCCAATATGTTATCCAAATGGTCTAGGAAAGTTCAATCATATTTATGAACATGAGCGAACCTCTGTCTCAAAGCCAGAAACCAGAGAATTAAGTCTCAAATTTGTGATGTCATTGGGCACTGTACCTGAGAGCCAGGGCCAGCTCCTTCTCACATCATAAGTTTTTTTTAAATAAAGTCATAAAAATGAGACAAACAACTGTTTCAACTTTCAGTGAAATGTTTTCAACTCTCTACTGTTCTTCAGTTCAAGTTGGGGCCCATGCTGTTGAGTTTACACGTCTTTGCTGTGGCCATTTTTTCTCGCTGGCAGGAAATGTGCGCTGTAAGGTAACTGTTTGTGGTTTGCTTGTTAACCATCTGTTTATGATAACACATTAGTTCCCCCTGTGTAGTTCCTACTAAGCGAAATAATGTCTACAAAGTTTGTAGACATTATTTCACTTAGTAGGACCTCTGCAGGAGGAACTAAGTGGCAGCATTATCATACAGTCTGTAGTGCAAACTGTATGATAATGCTGCCACTGTAAGGTGAACAGAAATAAATTAAAAGTGATCTTGATTGACTGACCAATAGTGCATGGCAGGCCACATAAACATAGTATATTTTGAAATTATTATTATTATTTTTGGCATTTAAAATGAAAATGCACAGGCCACAATTGGCCCTCGAGCCAGACTTTGACATGCCTGTCGTAGGGTATAAAGTCTGTCATAGGGTATAAAGTCTTTAATTTAATTTAATCCAATTAATGGGAGACTGACTTTGTTTGTTTTCATTTTATACATAAATGAGCTTTACTATATTACACTTATCATACTGTTACACTTAAGAAAATCTCTATGGATGCTATCAGTAATTTATAACATCTTTTTCAATTAACTGTCCCTGGAGCAGCTCCAGAGTTTATTGTTTACTACACTTTTTGACTGTCTTAGACCACAGGAATAACATGTATGAGTTTTGAAAATGGGCGTTATTCCTCCTTTAAGTGTGAATGAATCTGAAGCTAAATGTCTCTTTGCAACACCACTAACTAAACTACTACCTCTTGTATCGTATCTCCTCTTTGAACTCGTAGAAAGCTCTTCCTCTGCCCATCTCCTCTGATGACACAGCCCTCCTGTCCTCTCCAGGATCCTCTGCACCTCCCTGCTGCACTATACCCTCTCCCTCCTCCTCTTGGTACACTGGTACAGTCTCTGAAACACACTCAGAAACCTGTTGTAGTGTTGAAACAAACTCAGAGCTGTGTTGTAGTGTTGTCAGACCGGGGTCAGTTTGTGTGGAGGTGTCTGTGTACTCTCGGGTACAGTCCGGTTTACATTGCTCAGTAACACCGTCTCGTGTTGGAGGTGAAGAGGGTGGAGCACAGACCTCCACTGTCTCCGTCGCTATTGAAGGTGTCAGTGAGCTGTCACTTTGTAGTTTCACCTCTTCATCATCACCGTCTTTCCCGTTTTGCTCAGCCTCTAACGCGGACCACAGCCTGCCCAGCAGCTCAGCCTTCAGACCCTTACTGTCCAACCCCAGTTCTTTCAGTCTGGACCGCAGCTCCGCTACTTTGAGCTTTTTAATGTCCGTTAGCTTCATTGTTACCGTGTGAGGACAGATTTAAGTGTCTTATTACTCGAGTTGTGACAAAAAGCAAACTTAAAGTAAACTGTGGAAGAAGAGCAGCGGTTGGGATCAAAACATCGGTTCAATATGGAGCCCTGTTTCTGATTGGCTGTTTTCTTCTTCGTCCTTCCAATATTCGGCAGATGCGACACTCAAATTTACTCTCTGCTGCCGCCACATGCTTAGAAACGGTACTACACTTGGTGGTCTAACATGGGTGATCCACATTGTTTATGCTTTATCCATCTTTTCTCTGCTATCCACAACAACCAATTACACTGTTCAACAGTGGTGGAAATATTTAGATCCCTTACTTAAGTAAAATTACTAATACCACTCCACTACAAGTAAAACACCACTTCAAAACCCTACTTAAGTAAGTACTGCTGTAGATGCTTTTATGTTGTTCTAATGTTGACTCCTTTATATACTGTTGGGTAATTTAATCTATAGCAATGCATCATATTCTTTTATATCATCATATGTTTGTAGCATCACTGTCCTGTGAGAACCATGTATCTCTGAAACGTCAACTTTTCATCAAGTTGCCCTGTTTTCTGCTTCATGATGATGCATTTTCTAGCTAATTAGGAGAATGTTCTCAACACATAAGGGGACACTTCATCCTTCAGTGAATCACAAAGACTGAAAATCAACACATCTGGAGATAGATGGCTCTCACTGGACAGGAAAACTTTCACTCTGAAGAGTAACTAAAGATGTCAGACAAATGTGGTGCAGTAGACAATAGTTACCTCTGAGATGTAGTTGAGTAGAAGTATAAAGTTGCATAAAATGGAAATACTCAAGTAAAGTATAAGTACCCTGACTCTGTACTTAAGTACAGAACTTGAGTAATGTACTCATTTACACCCCACCATTGCTGTTCATCTTGCAGTGTTAAAGCCACTGTAATATGCTGTGAATAGATCAAGACTGATCATATAATAAAGCAATTGTTTTTGTCAGTCAGTGACAGCAGTGGGAGGAATACTTTAAGTCCTTTACTAAGTAACCATACAACATTTACAAAAGTACCCTTCCTGCAGAAAAACTGCACCATGTCTACCTGTGTAGTAAGAAAATTAAACTTCTGTGTTTCTATGAGGAGGTGGAGGTCTTATTAATGAAGTGTTAAGAAATTCCGTGAGCATTAACAAAGTAAACCTGCTCTTATTATGTATGAACTTTCATATCCCCCTGGTTGACCAAATCTGCTCCATTTATTTGATCCCTTTTGTATGTTCTAGTCATGTTCCTTTTTTTAAAAAAAGATGAGAGAAATAAAGTATGACACAGCCCGCCTTTAGTGGGATGAAATTCTCAACTTCAAAACAAACAAACGCATCAGTCAGTACTGGTGTACATATGGATGTACCTTGTTAGGATTTATCAGTTGACACAACAGTCTTTCAGAATGGGAAACTTTTTATTTGACAAACAAGACAAATGCAAAAAACATGAATGCAAATGAGCACAAACAGATATAAGAGGTAAAAAGGAAGAACATTGTCAATTATAGTACAAAAACATTTCATATGTTACAATTCAAGTGACATCACTGACTCATCTCTCTTTACTTCAGATTTCCTGTTCCGCTGTCTGTGTGTCATTACAACCACTTGGGTCTGTGATAACAGGAGAGAAGTTTAGTTCAACTTTGAATCATTTGTTTTAGAAACTCAGCAAAGTGAATAACTTCTTTCCTTTTCACTGACCCCTCTGGGCTCTGCACAAAATCTCTCTCAACATGAAAACTGTCACAGATCCTGTGTCTCTTCATTACTCTCTAAAGACTCTGTAAGTATCACTTGAGGAGATCTGACTGCTTCATTAACGCCCCGAAAGCGGCTGCGTCCAGACAGACAGCATCATGATAAAAATCGTCACAAGAAGAGAGACAGCCAGCGGTGATTTTTTTTCTCCGTTACACAACAGAGCATTTGGGTCATGCTCACACAGTGAGCCTGTTACTCAGTGGCTCGGTCACACTCTCACCACATGCTTCACAATAAAAGCGCCTCAGTGCTACATCTGAATATCTGAATATTATACTCAGAACAGTCCACAAAGTGTATTCTCCCTGACGAGGACACGACTGTGCAAAATGTCAGACTCCAGCAGAAATGTAAACAACCATGCATATTAAATATATACTCAAACAGACTGTAAGAAAAACACCATCAGTGATGAGCATAAATTATAATGCATTAATTCACAAAGTCACAGTCAAATGAGGAGGATCATTATTAGCTTCTAAATGACACAGTGGTCATTAGATCACTGAACACATCTGTTTTCAACTATTCTGATGAGTGTGTCTTTTTATTCTGTAAGATCCCTTTTTGTCCCAAGACAGTGGAGGTTAGTCCCAGTTTGTAGCTCTCGTGTATCACCATTACACTGAAGCTAAAAATCAACTAATTCCAGCACAGCTTTAAAAAACGCAGAAGCTAACAACACTTTGTGCTGTCGGAGGCATTTCCAGAATAATTTAACCATATAGATGAAAACATATTCAGTCTGCTGCTTGATAAAAAGAAGATGTTAAAAGTTAAAAAGACGACTGTTTGATTTGTTCTGTACATCTATAAAAAGTGTCATATGTGTAACTGTATGTTGAACCTGTGTGCAGCCGCCTGAGGATGCAAAATAAATTCCAGTGTAAGTTGTATCGTATCTTTAAGTATTTGGAGCAGCTTGTTAACAAGTAAGATACAAACACACTGTTGTCTGAAGTGAGCAGTTTTATCAATTTGGTTATGCATCATTGTGCTTTAAACGATAAGATCTTTTTTATCGTGCAGTGGACTGAATATGTTTTCACCCACATGGTTAGAAAAGACTTTGGGGATTTTAAATCAACTGGTATTTATCATCTAGAAAAACAGATGCCTAGTTCTGTGGCTCAAATGTAATTAATACATAAGAGGCAACAAACTGGAGCTAAGTTCTGGTGTCAGGGCAGACTGAACTGCCAGCGTCCTGTAATGTAAGTGATGCTATCCCTGCTCAAACATCATATCATTATGTAATACAGCCTGACTGATACTGGAAAGTATAAATAAACTTGTCAGTGCTCTCTGGAGGACAAACTCTATAATAGAAACACTGTTTCTTAATGAACTGAAACAAATCTGTCATTTCTATATGTATCAGCTGACACGTACGCCCATATGATTCATCATTCAGTCTCTATTCTAAAGATGATGAATTATGAATTATATTTAAATACAAACGTACACTTTCATGCCCATATTCTACATGCAGTAGCAAGAACTAAAGTGGACATTACCATTAGAGATAAGGAGAAAAAAAGATGAAGTGTATTATCTTTCGTCACTACCTCATACACTCTCAGTTAGACAAAGATGGTGGGTGTTGCTGGAGGATGTGGAGGTGTGGGCGAGCCGCTGTCAGACGGACTGTAACCCAGCAGCAGCTCCTTCTCTCGGGGACGACACGGCCCGCTGATGTGCTGGCTGTGAGAGTGGTAGAGCCGCAGGAAAGCCAGGATGGACTGGGCCAGCCACAGAGCCGTCACACCCCACAGAGACGCCTGAGGACACGGGGTGTGATTCATTAAGCTCACGGCCACACTTATATAATGAAAGCATCAAGGCTGTGGATGCTGGTGTGTTAGCTGTGTTTCTGTGTGGTTTGGAAAAACTACAGAGCTGAGCATTGCTTTGTAAAAGGGAGTAAAATAGGCATATTATCTTTGTTGCAATATTCAAGGTTCAAGAAAATCCACTATTATAGAGATAAGTTTTTTAGTAAAATAATTGCATGATGTTACCACTGAGTAATCATACTGAACAACAGCCATAGCAGCACCAGGTTATATGTTAAAACAAGAGCCGTTCATAACAGGAGATTTTTGTTCGACAAACAAGACAAATGCAAAATCAGTGACATAAATAAGCATACATTCTGTTGATAGTTGCTGTGCTGAATCATATTCACTATTTGCTGTATTTTACAGTTATTGAAAGCTTTCACAGTTTCACAAAAGCTTCCAGTAAAAACTTCAAAGGTCACTGCTGTCTTCAGCCTTTACTGGAAATGTGTTTAGTATAAATAGCATCTGCTGTTTCACACACAGTGAAGGCAGAACATCTGTTGAATGCTAACAAAATAACAGTCGACTCCTGTGCGGCTCAGAATATTCCAGAAACATGTCTCAGCAGTTTGAATCTAAATATAAAAGAAATCCTCTGTGGAAAAATACAAAGAGGCTATGCTGAAAACTGGGCTTGACTTTAGCTATCTATTGTACACTCTGTGTGTGTGTGTGTGTGTGTGTGTGTGTGTGTGTGTGAGTGTGTGTGTGTGTGTCCTACCTGTGCCAGACTGAGCTCTGTGTAGAAGGAAGAAGTGTTCACATCCAGGTACAGAGGAACAGACTGGGACTCTGCACAGCTAAACACAAACATGAAGGGATGAGAAATGATCCTCAACAACATTCACAGTCCACAACTATCAGCCCCCCACTGCTGACGTAGTTACATAAAAGACTACCACTCTGCTGTAATATTTTATCAACACTGCATTAAAGTTGTGATCACATACACACACGTGTCACATATTTAATGTTCCACCACCAGACAGCGTACCTGTACGGCCGTTTGTTGTGATCAGTCACAGTGTCACACCAGGAGGAGAATCCCAGAGACAGGATAACACTGGCCCCTCCGGACAGGAAGAGAACGCACACACTCAGCAGTACCGTCAGGAAGGACGAGAACAGGGTGCTGAACAGAAACACACATACACACATACACACAACCATCAGACATTTGGTACTATTGATATAGATTAAAGTGAATTAACATGGATATATAGGCAGACACATCCACTAGAGCTGAAATGATTAGTCAGGTAATCGATTAATAACTCGCCATGAAATCAACTGAATTTAATAATAATATATGCAAATTTTCTCTGGTTTCTGTTTCTCAGATGTGAGGATGTGTTGCTTTTCTTCACATATCTGACAGCTCGGTTGTTGGTTTTAGACTATTGGTCAGATAAAACAAGGAAGCTAAAGACAGTGAGTTTTGAGAAATAATGACATGCACTTTATCACAATTTATTCTCATTTCATAGAAAAACAATTAATCACACCCACTAAAGGTGTGATGAAGAAATGGCTAATGCGTATTGTCACCTTCTTTGCTTGCATGTCTACATACCGTTTTAAACTACTTTACATACTTAAGACTACTTTAGGCATGTCCACAAACATAATAATGGAAATGTTGCATATATAAATACATAGATAGATAGATAAAGATATGTACATGCTTACAAGTATTGTTATGACAGTAAAGAGAGAGAAGTTATTTCCTGTCTGCAAATATATACTTAAAATAGCACTTTATACCTAAACAATTATACTACTACTACTGCACTACTGCAAAGATACTCCTACTGTATTACCAGTGGTGGAAGAAGTACTCAGATTGACCTCTTACAGAGGTAACAGTTGCAATAATACAGTGTAAATACAAGCAACAGTCTTACATTCAAAATCCTACTCAAGTAACCGTACATGAGTATTAGCATTTAAATACTTAGAGTACCAAAAGTAAAAGTACTGATTATTGCAGAATCGTCCATTCCATCGTAATATATATTACTGGATTATAATTATTGATGCAGCGGGTGGGAGTGGTGCTGTCTTATTTATACTGCTGGGTAGATTAACCTATATTAATATAACATTAATGCATCAATCGATTAATATCTTGTGTTAATAATTTAAATGTGCAAAGTAACTAAGCTGTAAAATAAATATAATTGGAGTAAAAAAGTACAATATCTACTTCCAACATGTGGTGAAGAAATATAAGATTGTACTTGAGTAACTGTACTTAGTTACATTCCACCACTGTGCACTCCTATAAGTATTACTGCTGCAGTAGTGTAACCAGGTCAGCCCTGCGATTATCTGTCAGACTCACTCATCATGTCGTCCGTGCAGATAGAAGAGGCACCTCCAGCCCTGCGCTGCACCGTACAGCACCGTGAAGATACCCACAAATGTGGCGCACTGGCAGGCAGCCGGTGGGCCCCACTGCTGCACCACCAGGTGGGAGACGTCTCCGGGCTGCCCCGTCAGCTCCTCCCGGTCCTCTGTCCTCCAGTAGCCGGTGGAGAAGAGTGCGCAGCGGCCTTTGAACGCGGAGCCGTTGAGAGCCATGGGGACGACCACCAGCAGACCCGCCACGATGGACAGGGCGTGAGCCGTGCAGTGAGCCAGCAGCAGCCGCCGGTCCAGCTCCATGGTACCGCTCAGACAAAGACTAGACGTTGAAGGTGTTCACGTTGTTAAAGTATATCTCGATTAAAGTCAGCACATCCCTGGTTATTTCCCATGTAACGGTGCACCGTGGTGGAGGGTATTTAAAGAAACCAGGGCGGGGACCGACTCGTCCCGGAGCAGCACAGCCGTTACACAACGCCCCTCACAGAGAGGAGGAGGACACACAGAGGTCTCACTCCGTCACGACTTCCTGAAACCAGAGGAAAAACATCCATCGTTATAATCACTGACAAAATAGTAACAACTAATAGTTATAGCATACCTTATAAAATTTAGTACCACCAGGGATTTTGGAGAGTTTTGAATTGACAACTCCCCTTTTTTGTAGACTGAGGTCGCCTAAATATTGAGTGGAGTGATACATCTTTAACACTAACGATCTTCGATGCTTAAAATGCCTCCAGCTGTGACGTAGTTGAGGCGGTTTGACGTATGTTTTGACCAACTGGCCCCTTTTTACGAGCTCTAGCAAAAAAAGATTTAATCACTCTGCAGACAGACTTATTGATCATATACTAATAATCTTAGTGATGAAGGGCCTGATCAATTAATCAATGACACTAATCAGCTGACATCTCATGCTCTGTTCAGTGAGGGCTGGGGACTTGTTATTTTTCTCCTGATTATGAACTAAGTTATGAACTAATCATTTAGATTTATCTTTCCTTTAGCTCATGTCAATGTTATGTTTTATAATCCATATTACAAATAGATGATCAGCTGTTATAAGAGCGGTGTTTCCCCACAGAGTCATGGTGCTTTCATTACAAAAACCGGGGCCATTATATGAGTCAAATGTCCTGCAGTTAAAGCTGTTATAGAAAAGCACATTAAGAGGACCAGGGCTGATAACTAAGGCACTAGGGTGAATTTGGGACCACACTGCAGTTTAGATATGTGTTTTCAGTTGAATTCAGAGGGGTCTAAAGTGGATGGCACAGTTTGGTAGAGAGGAATGTGGGTGGAGTTGGGGTTAAATTCTTCTCTGTGTGACAGACAAAGGCATCCAGACTACTATCCCCCACCCTGCTGATAAACTATCATCCATCAGTGAAGCTGTGACACGTGTTTTCCTTAAATCAGGTTGAAATGTGCACTTACAAAAAACAGATATCACATGAAATGTGTCAACACCCATATGTGTACAATAAAGGTGGTGGACTAAAGGGTTTGCCAAACTAATAAATCCCAATGTACCACAACATTTGTATTGGGCAGGGATGATTCAAATAAGTGCAACATTATAAACAGGTTACAAATAAACAGCAACCAGAATTAACTGGTAAGAGGCCTGTTATCGGCTCTAATACAGAGCCTTGTTAACTTAATCACATTTAGTGTGAAAGTTATTGAACTCATGACCATGTCAGTAATGAAATGTGCAAAACAAGGATAAATCAACGTGCCATCGATTCAAAGGTCACCTTCAGGTTAATGAGCATTTAATTAAAATCATGACCATATCAATCATGAAATGTGCAAAAAGAGAACAAATCCATGAACCATCAATTCAAAGGACACCTTCAGGTTGATGAGCATTCAATGAAACACTTGCCGAAAGGCTCAATTTTCCAAATTGAATTACCACAGAATTGAATGAACATGATGCCTGTGACAAAAGTGGACCATTATGAGTCTCATCAGGTTGTTATATAGGTCAGGTCAGGCTGCCGTTCTAGAAACAAGGTCAATACACACACAGGTCAGCTGTATGAAAATCAGGAAATTGACTAAATTGATTTCATTACTTAATAATGGTTAATATTACATTATTTGTATAACAATAGCATTTATGTTTATAATTCATTTTTCATATTAGCATGAATATGTAAACACAAGTGGTATGCAACTGTAGCTTTGTTCAGCATATTTACTATTCTTAACTCGCATACAGTGACAAACAGTATGTGGTGTTACATAGCATTTTCATTATTCTGACCTGTGGGCTATATAATTCTGTATTTTATTCTCTAACGTTCTAACTCAATCTTTTATCTTTATTGTTTCACAGTGCCGTATCACCAAGTCAAACTCTTGTCTATGCGGTATATTTGACGGATAAAGAGATTTTGATGATATAACACAATAATGAGATGTGCTGTTTGTATGACGTCAAGAGGAGCACCAGCTTAAACTAGAGACTGGCACGCGCATGCATATGGTGTGTTCTTGCCCTGAGCTTAGACAGTGGTGGCTTGAAATTGAGAATATCCTTGGAAATGTATTGTTACCGGATATTTCTTTTACACCTGAGATCACAATGGGGGTCATCTTTGTCATAAATGTATAACTGCATAATTCTGAATAAGGAGATTTTTTTTTTTTCAAAACAAAAAAGGGGAGCATCAGCTGAATTATTCCCCATCACTCTTTTTTTTAACATTACAAGCTTCTTCTTGCTCCTATTATCACAATTTCTTAGATAGGATTGATAAAACCCTTAATGTAGTGGTAGCCTACAGGTTGCAGTCATGTTGCAGTACTGTTAATACTGAAGCCAGGATGTAATACAGGGATCAGAAGTCAAAGCAAGCCCTATTTCTGCTAGAGAATGTTTATTTTAATGTTTAATTAATTAAGCTGTCCAATTATGTCTTTGTAGTATTTATATTTTAAAAGACCTATATGTCTAAGAGTATGAAAATGGTGTGTTTATTCGCTTATATAGGCCTATTTTTTCATTTTTTATTGGCCCACCTGACTGTTGAGCCAATCAGAGGGAGAGTATGGCAGAATAGGGCGGGTCATGCCTTCCGATGAATTCGCTATCCATCCGGACAGAGCTACTTTGGAACAACGTGACCAACGCTCCAACCAACGTCCCTACTACTGATCTTGTTAGGATGGATCTTCACTAGGGAATGCCGAAATATATCTTCATAGCAAAATGCCGAAACCCGGGATCGAACCAGGGACCTTTAGATCTTCAGTCTAACGCTCTCCCAACTGAGCTATTTCGGCGGTAAGTACTGCTTATGGAACATGTCCAATTTACACGCAAACAAAAGGACATATACTGTCTTTTACATAACACAAACAAAGAAATACACATAAAGAAAACGTATACACATCTCAGCCGATTGTTAGGTTAACTTTGTGTCCCTACGGCTCTGGATTCATAGAACGTTCCACGCGGTGACGTCATTTAGACGCCCACATTAAGCGCAGAGGCTGCTGGGAGGAAAGGTCAAGAATCGACGACTGTGGACGCCACGGATTTACGTTACCATTGCAAGAAAGATTATCGCTTCGTTAAACTACTTAATGATACTGGAAAAACTATTTAACTGTTTGAAATGAGACACGTGAGCTCCGCTGCCTGTAAGACAGGAAACATTAAAAAAAGCTATTGTCCGTTTTTTTAAAGACTCCTTCGGGCTAGCTGCCGTTAGCAAGCTAGCAGCTGCATTGTTATTGTTTTCGCCTCATTAGGCGGCCATAAAAACACTGTTCCCCGAGGTACCCCAGCCGAGGCAGGGGTCCGGACTGCCTGAGTGATGTGTTTCTGTCCGTCCCGGGAAGATGGATGAGAAGTCCAGCAGCAGCAGCAGCCATCACCGGCTCCTGATCGTCCTGCTCATGGTGTTGCTCTTTGGCGTCATTATGGTCCAGTACGTGTGCCCGAGCAGGTCCGAGTGCCAGATGCTACACCAGCTGGGGTCCTGGTTTAAGGACGGCGGTGCAACTGGTTCCCGGAGCGGTGGCAACGAAATCCAAGACGGGCTGCAGAAAGATCCGTACATCGCAGAAGACGGCGCTCTTGTCCGCTTTGTCCCTCGCTTTAATTTCACCAAAGCAGATTTAAATCGTGTTGTAGACTTCAACATCAAAGGAGATGATGTTATAGTGTTTCTGCACATTCAGAAAACTGGTGGCACGACGTTTGGGCGCCACCTGGTGCGGAATATTCAGCTGGAGAGGCCCTGCGAGTGTCACGCAGGTCAGAAGAAATGTACCTGTTACCGGCCAGGTAAAAAGGAAACCTGGCTGTTCTCCCGGTTCTCCACCGGCTGGAGCTGCGGGCTTCATGCCGACTGGACTGAGCTGACCAGCTGCGTCCCGTCACGGATGGATTCTCGGGAGGCTCCTGATAATCTGCCCAGGTAGGTGTAAGAGGATGCTGGGGATGGGGATGTTAGGGTGTTACAAAACGTTTCGGCTGGACATAACTATGTACATACTGACAGGTGTTATTACAGTAAAGAAAATCAAGCTATCTCCTGTCTGTAAAATATACTTAAAACAGTACTTTATACTTTTACAGTTGGACTACTACTATTGCAGCAACTGCTTTGATACTACTACTATATTACCAGTGGTGGAAGAAGTACTCAGTTTGACCTTTTACTCAAGTAACAGTTGCAATAACGCAATGTAAAAGCAAAAGTCTTGTGTTCAAAGTCTTACTCAAGTGTGTATATGAGCATTAAAATGATTGACAGATTTACAGTTGATAAGGAATAAGACACATTATTTGCAGCACTAATTCAAATAGATAAATGCAGTGCCATGTTGAATCTATTTCTGTTGGACCTAATGTTTCTTTTTCCTCTCCAGTAGGAACTATTATTATATAACCATCCTAAGAGACCCTGTATCACGCTACCTGAGCGAGTGGCGTCACGTGCAACGTGGTGCTACATGGAGGGCCTCCTTACATGTGTGTGATGGACGTTCACCAACGCTGTCTGAGCTGCCAAGCTGTTACTCAGGAGATGACTGGTCAGGTTGCACCCTGCAGGAGTTCATGGACTGCCCCTACAACCTGGCGAACAACCGGCAGACCCGTATGCTTGCTGATCTCAGTCTGGTGGGTTGCTACAATGTCTCCACCATGAGTGAGGAAGAGCGCTGGGCAGTCCTTCTGGAGAGCGCAAAGCGCAACCTACGCGGCATGGCCTTCTTTGGGCTGACCGAGTACCAGCGCAAGACCCAGTATCTGTTTGAGCGTACCTTCAACCTGGAGTTCATCGCACCCTTCACACAGCTCAACGGCACACGTGCCTCCAGTGTTGAGGTCCCTCCTGAGACACAATACAGAATCCTGCAGCTGAACCGATGGGACGTAGAGCTGTACGAGTATGCCCGCGACCTTTTCCTGCAGCGTTTCCAGGTGGCGAGGCAGCAGGAGCGCAGGCAGGCCAGGGCAAGGCGGCAGCAGGAGAGGAGGCGGCTCCGTGGAAGGCTCACAACAAAGCAAGGGAGGCAGCTGAAGCCCACAGAAGCACCCCGTCAGCCTGTGAGCCACTCTGTAGTAACTGAGGAGCAGCTGAAGGGTAAAGCTGGTGGAGACAGTGTGGAGTCAGAGATGCTGCTCCCAGACTGGTGGGATATGGATGAGAACAGCACCATGGAGGATTACATGGACAATGTGGAGCAGTGGTAGTGACGGGAACGAGCAGTAGGGTGTCTTAATACTAAGTGTGCCAAGTTCTGCCTTGTCTGTTGTTACTCAAAGTTATTTTTAGTATATGCCTTCCACTAATTTTTTTTTCTCACCATGAACAAATGACACCATTTATTTATTTATTGATACTGATTGTATTTCTTTGTCACAGCTGACATTCATAATAAATAGATTTCCTTGATAGAAAAAAAAAGGCTAGTCTAGGTACCTGCAATCCTTTTACCTTCAGTGATCACACAAGCCTTCAAGACAGTTATCTTGGCTTTTAAACACATCTGAACTCCTGTGAAGTAACTTGGAATGAGGGGGTGTTTGTTTTTCCTTGTTAAAAAGAACAATGTAATAATTTGTTTCTATAAATAATATGCTACTGTTTGTGATTTACAATCTGTATGTTTGCCAAATTGTTGTCTTGTCTGAAATGTGTACATTTTAAAATGTACCTGTTTTTAAGTGTCTTTTAAGTAACAGAAAAGGACAGTTTTCATAGATACCTCATTGTGTAGCATTAACTGCTAATATTGTAAAATTACTGAATGTGTCCCATGTCTCGATTTTTATATAAAAATGATTTTACATTCACTGAACTACTGTTTTATTCTTGCCATACTTTGATATCTCCTTTACGTCTTTGTCTGACCATGTGCACAAAAGACTGCAAGCTTTTGTGTTGCACTTGCAAACCTCTGTTACACCAGCAGGGGGCGCTGAAATTACTTTAATGAAATCAGAGCTTCCTGGGTGGAGATATGAGGTGGTGGTTGACATCACGGCTTATTCTTAAATTTAGTAGGATAGGATTTTAAACCTTTTTTCAGTGTGATCCTCACAGGATTTAATAGAGGGATCAGCTGTGACAGCTGTTCGTAAATTTTGAAGAATTATTCAGCAGTTTACTGAAAATGGTTAAGACTATATGGAGGTCATAGGATTGTTAAAAAAGGGGGGGGGGGGGGATTTGTTTTTTTATCAGTACAGAGATAGCTGGGGGTAAGAACAATGTTATGCTGTTGATTGTTTATGAACAACACCTAAATATATAAACTCAGTGTTGGGGAGTAATTGACTACATGTAGTTCAATTACTGTTTTAACTACAATTTGCAGTAGTTGGGTCGCAGCTTTGCTACATTGAAATCTCAGTAGCTTTTTTTCTGTAGTTAACTACATTTTAGTTTATTTAGTTAATTACAAACTACATGTTTACTGTATTCTCATGAAGATTTATGCCATACAATATGGCACAATGCTACAGCTCACTGGCCACGGTTGTTATTAAATGACAGTCACCTGCTATTTGACTAAAATCACCTGTGGTTTCCATCCAAGATGTCTGTGTTTGAACATTACGAATTAGAAGTTTAGCATTTTCCTGAACACATCCTCAGACTGCTTAAGTGAGGATTGACCTGCTCTAGTCCCTATAAATCAGACACAGGTACACTTTATTCAGTGTCACTGCAGTACAGCATGAGATTTCAGCTTCAAATTGTGACCATTTCCTGTGATGTATTTTGGATGTAGCTGAACTACTTTTTTGACAAGCTAAAAATTCTGTGATTCGTTAAGATGTAAGTCAATTACTTTTCATTGTGAAGTAGCAAGTAGTTTGGTAAACTTGCGTGGATATTTAAATTTGGTTTAGACTATGAAATATCTGGATCCTGTCTTCAGTTTTTTGGCTCTGTCAGATTTAAAAGCTCATGCCAAAAAACTGAAAGCCAAAAAAATTACAGACAGACATATAAAACCATTATTACACTCAAGTATGTTATAATATAATGTTGCTCAGCTATCATAACTCAAAGGGGCACGCCACCTTAATAAAGAATTGCATTATGTTATTCTAATGAGGTAGTCTCTCTCAAAGCAAGAGAAGTAAGTCTCAAATTTGTATTGTCATTGAGTATAAAATCTGAGCTGCTCTATAGACCAGGCGTGTCAAACATACGGCCTGGGAGCCAGAAGCAGCCCACCAAAGGCTCCAATCTGGCCCACTAGATGACTTTGCTCATCTCATATTTCGCACCTGTGAAGACTAAGCAGTGTCAGGTTTAAACAGTGAGTAGATACTTGATGTAAAATGCTGCCTCAGAGACTTTTCACCCTGACCAAAATATAGCTCTCTGATGTAACAATGACTACTTCCTGTGGTCACATTTAAAGATATTGAACATTGTACATAATATGCATATATCAGCCAGCAGCTTCACTACAAAAGAATCTGTATCAGACTTCTATCTTAAAACAATATGAGTGGAACCCTGTTGATAAGGCACTGACAAAACTTCAGATTGTAAATGGTTTATAAGGCAGGAGATGACTTTACCTGCTTCCTCAATGGCCTCTACTTTAGGGGAAAATTATGAAAAAAAATGCACATGTAGTAAAAGTGAGTAGCAGATTGGCTCATAAAAAACAACAACCACACTTCCCTTCATTAACGATAATACAGTGGTATTAAAATAGACACAGAATAAAATAAGTTTAAGCAGATGCATAAATAGAAATGTAAAATTTAATTAAAATTGCCCATTCCACAGTCCAATCCAGTTGTGGCTAAGGTGATATATGTGTGTGTGTGTGTGTGTGTGTGTGTGTGTGTGTGTCGGTGGATGTTCTGGGTTTTATTGTGAAAACCACCGAATTTTGGGTATCACCTAAATGTACAAGCCAAACACATAATGTAACGTTTGTAATGTTATACGCAATAAATTAACACATAGAGTTAAATGTTAATTGTAAAATCTTAAATGAGTATGATACCCCTGGTCCAGGTTTTATTGTGAAAACCATTAGGCACATGCTGTTGCTAGCATTGTTGCTAGCATCAGGTCCAAGAAAACGGCTCTGCTAGCTTACTTACATATTTTGGCATATCACCTAAATGTACAAGGTAAACAATATAATGTAACTTTACTAATGTTATACGCAATAAATTAACACTTTAAGAATTAAATGTAATTAATATTTTACTGCTTTTAATTGTTTTAAAATGGCCGTTTATAATTTTCGACCGTTATGTTTAAATTTTGACCGTTGATGTTGCTATATTAGCCCAACTGCTAATTATATGCTAATACAGTTAGCCTTTAAATGATGCCAATAAAATAACGCTGTCGGGCTATATGGGTGTGTTTTTTTGGCTAATTAATTTGCCCAGGTTTACAGGGCCACATACCTTTGTAACTGTCATGTGTCATGTCGTTACCAGGGAAGTCTTTCCCCCGCCTTTTATGAGTGTAATCTTAAAACACACACATACCTGTCGAATTAGCCATTCCCACCTGCGCAGTGTTTATGGCAGCCTACCTTGATAAACTGCTTTCGTCGTGACTTTGATTCTCTCCCATGCTAATTACGTTATCTTATAAACGAAAGCACACACTCCCAACTCCTCCCTCTCCATTTCTGCCCTCCCTCTGATTTTTTTTTTTCAAATGTGTTATTCTGCTGTGTGTTCAGTCACTGTTGCAGCCGAGCAAATTTAGTTGCAGCAAACATTTCAGCTGCCAGCAGCCACCGCTTCTTTCTTTCCCTCACTCCGCGGCCGTAACACGTTTTTTTCTACTTGCTTCGGTTTTATTATTCCCAGCTAGCGACAACGCGCTTTTATTTCTTCCTCTGCTTTCACTTACAGCCTGTACTGATTGTATATCAGCGTCTGTGTGGAAAAATAACCATCAGATAAACATTTTAACCGACGTTAATTCAGGAGGAGAGGACATCTGAATCCGTCTGGACTACACACAGGTAAGAAGCTGAGCACGTCTGGCGCAGTAATAATATAATGCTGTTTAGTTTTATGTTTAATCCATGCTGCAGTCATTAAAAACGCCTCTGTCACTCTGCCTGTTGCGTGGAAGCTCAGAGCCCTTTGTCATTGTTAATTACGGGCGTAATTGCGGTGTTACACATAGGCACTACAGTAATAACATCTCCATTTGACATGCTTGTTGTAGGTCTGCTGAGGGCTATCCTCTGTGTAGATTATAACAATGCCTGTCATGTTTGAGTGCAGGATCTGCACATGAGGGTTTGGTTGAATGCAGCATGCAGGGATTTTATTGGGTGTATTAACAGTCACAGTGTTTCAAGTGCAAGTTGTCATGCCAGAGTGAAAGGCAAAAAAATCAATGTGAAATTACTTTCTGAGTCTCTGTTCACTGTATTATTATATTTAATTCAATTACAGTTGGCAGGAGTGAAGAGCACCTGCATTTCCTGGTTATCTATCTAGCTGTGTGTCTGCAGGATTCTGCATCCAGCCTCCATGCATGCACGCAGCACAGGGAGGTTGACTCCCTGTCCTTGTTTACCCTTAGGGGTCAGACATTCAAGCCACCGTAGCATACTGTGTTGTCACTACTTGCCTACAGTACATATAATACTGTACGCACTTCCAATAGGCGTATCGCCATCATCTTGGCTCATTATACAATACAGCCAGTCAAGACAAGTTCACGCTCCCTCCAGGCTGTGGACTCTGCACCAGTCTAGCTAGTTTTTCTTTACTTAATATAAACACTGATAAACTGACAGATACACATGGGCATGCAGCCACATTTCCCACATAACCTATTTTCATTTCCCCTGTCACAGAGACACATTAACTGCCTGGGAAGCTCCATCTTTTATGGTGCAAATAAAACCATTCACCAACCAATAACAAATCAAAGATGTTATGCTGACGATAGCTATAACATCTACAGTTTTTCCACACAGTTAACTTTCATGATCTCACTACAGGGATGTGAAACTCCCAGCCCCAAAACCAGCAGGGTAACATGAAAGCTCCAGGGCTTACACTTTATTCTCTATCGAGTTTTCTAGTTTAAAACTTTTTAAAAGTGCAACAGGCAAGTTAAGCTGCAAGTAGTTCGTGTTTTGTGCAGGCTATGTTGTCCTGTATGATGGGATAGGCTTGTCATATGTTTGCCTGAATGGGAACTGTGGTGCTTTAACAAGCTGAAAGGATTACTGATACTTAACCTAATTACTTTGCACCCTCCCTCCAGGCTGCTAGCTTTCACTCTCATTGTGATTTATGGATCTTCCACTTGCTTTTTAATCAATCACCTTGTCACTGATGAGATCCTGTTTTGCACTTGTCCTTGTCGTTGCTCTCAAAAGAGTTGATTGTCAAGTGAACTGTAACAATCATACTGGGGGATCAGAGTTTGTTTGTTGCACAACTACCTGTGCCTCTAAAAAAAAGAATTTACCAAACCTTTGGGAATGGGGAAGCTCCCGATTATTAAAAAAAACAAACAAAAAATCTCCCACAGGAAATTCACAGATTCTCGTGTGAAACTAAACTGACACACAGATATGGGCCAAATTTTTTTCCCCAGCATGTGTATACTAAAAATACTTACTGCACTAAACTATGTGATGTTTTTATTTCTCTGTCAACTTGCTGTATCAGCCTTAAAATGCTTTTGTTCCCATTTTACATGTTTAGCCAATGCCCTTTTTTTCCTTTAAAAAATTCAGCATATTCAAGGTTTTGGTCTAATTCTTTTGTCTCTGTCAACCTGCTGTTTGCTTCAACTGCATTCAGCCCTTTAGTTCTAACTTTCACTCCATTTAGTGTCTCAGCCATTTCAAATTTAGCTAAAGACACATTACATTCTTATTTTTCACATTTATCAAATGCTTTTAATCGAGCAATTCACAGTGAATCAGCAATCCTAAATTTCTACATGACTGTTGAACTCCTCTCAAGTTTATTTGAATCGTAAACTCTTCTCAGCACTTTCACTTCATCTGATAGCTCAACCAGCGCTCACACTTAAAGGGAAACTTCAGTATGTTTGAACCTGATTGTTATTTCCCAATATCTTTTTGTTCAAGTGACTCATGGCGACAATTTTTGAAATTTGTCTAAAATTAAGAGAGAACGCTGCAGCCAGCAGCAGCGAAACAGGCTGCAGTGTAATCCCTACGGCAACTGTGTGCCGTCAATTTACGTCCATTAGAAGCGCTTGTTTTTGCTACTGACAGGCTCAGATTGTTATTATAAATCTCTAAGAACATTATGGAAAGGATCTCTACAATAAAAAGCGTAACCTCTAGGGCTGAAAACTGAAGTAACACTGAAGTGTTACTGTGTGTAACCAAGTCTCACTCTTGTTCTGAAATCTCATAGAGTTAGTTAAATACTCAGCCATGACACTGATTTTTTTTTTTAGCTAACACTAAGCTATGCTTTCTGTACTCCAACACAACAAACTCTTCCCAGCACTCTTGTCTCTTGTCTCAACTCTCAGTAACATTTTCACTGTTGTTTTCCCCGCAATAAGTCACGTCTCGCTTGAGTGAGACTTTGTCACAATAACACACAGACCAGCAAAAGGTAAGGAACAAAGTTTCATTTCTCTGTAGGGTTTTTCCTGTAATGTTGTCAGACACTAAAATAACAATCTGAGCCTGTAAGTGGCAAAAACAAGCACTTCATGGATGCAGACTGACGGAGCAGATTTGACCGTAGTGATTACATTGCAGCTCTTTTTGCTGCTGCGGCTGCAGCACTCTCTCTTAATACTGGACCGCTTTCAAAAATTGTTCACCATTAGTCACGTAGACTCAAAAACATGGGAAAATAGGGTCCAGGTTGAAAGACACAGATGTTTCACTTTAAATGTACACTTGAACTACATTAAGTGTTTAACTTTTATCAAAAATTTCAACCTCATTCTTCTCTAGTTTTGAGTTGTGTCAACTTCTTTACAAGCAGTTATTGTATTTTGACAGTTTTATGATTATTTTGTTCTCTCAGTCAGCCTACTGTATTAATTCAATTTAATTTTATTTATGAAGCCCAATATCACAAATTACAATTTGCCTCAGAGGACTTTACATCCCTTTGTCCATGGACCCTCACAGTGGAGAAGGAAAAATCCCCCCAAAAATACCCTTTAATGGGGGGAAAAAAGTTAAAACCTTAGGAATTTAAGGAACACATAATACATTTATCACATTTACCCGATACTCTTAATTTAGAGGAAACAGTGGAGCAATGTTAAAATTTCTCCTGGCAAGCAATTAAAGTGACAGACACTTAAAATATCCTCCTGCCTGTACCATGATTGTGCAAAAGAAAAGAGCAAAGCAAAGAAATTAAGAGGAGAAATAAAAGGTGTTAATAAGTGTTAATATGTCACCCTATCTCTCACTGAATGTATGCCTAACACTTTACAGTGTTATTGATATAAGGCTATCTATTAGCGTGAGCAGATAAGGTGCAGCGCTGTCTGTCTGAGGTGGCACCCAGCCTACACACCAGCCATAATGCAGGCGTCAGAGCTCCAGTGAAGGTTACACTGCCGGTAGCCCTTTGGTGCACTGTGTTTGATGATGGACGCAGTGCGCCGGAGTCAACAGCAGCCACCCCCATCTGCCCTCCTTATACTTTCCCCCATCGCTTCCCACCTACATGCTGACCCCCACCTACTGACTGCTGGAGCCCCTTGTCTCACTGCAGACACCTGGAGGACCGGCAGCAGCATAATGACTGTTATAACTGGGGCGCTCTATATTTATTCTCCATGCCGCATCCCTGCAAACGACTGTTTATGCTGCATTGTAAAGGTCGAACAAGTTCAGTAGGCCAAGAGTGATTCGGTACAAAATGTACACTCTTTATCACAGTTGTCTTACAACAAAATTAATAGTTTTAATTTAATTATGTTTAAATGTTTAGTTCATGTGTTTATCAGAGCTGAAACTACCAGTCTATTTATAGATTAGTTGATTGACAGAAAATTAATCTGCAGCTATTTTGAGAACAGTTTCAGCTTCTCAAATGTGAGGTTTGCTGCATTTCTTTTTCGTATATGATATAAAATATATTTAAAGATGTTTCCATCGGCACTGAAAAAATGTTATGTTATTTTTTTTACTATTTCTTGACACGGATAATCAAGAAAATAAAATGCATTTAAGTAGATAAAAAAACAATCATTAGTTGCACTCGAGAATAAATGGCACATTTTAGTCTATTTACATATAGATAAAGGCTATTGTCATGCTGTTTGTTTTTATTTAAGAGCTTTAACCCATTCATCAGTGTTGTAGGGACAACACTGAGACAGTTATGGTGTGTGGGCTGAAACTGCACGATAATTCAGCCTCCAGCATGCAGCATCAATCCTCTCTTTAACTGAGCTCTTTATCAGTGTTTAGCTATAAGATTACTTCTCACCTGTATCTTTTCGCTTCAGCTGCCTCTTAACTATTTGCTCCTTGGTCGTTTGTTGTTCTCCTATATTTTTTGGCCTCCTCATGATTTATCTCTGCCGTGGTAGGAACAGTACTGTGTTGTGCAATATTGCATCTTGGCAGTCAGTGTGTTTCTTTCCAAACTGAAGGATCTGTATTTCTAAGAGTGTTATCTCTCAAAAAAGACTGCTGATTAACTTATACATCTTTGTAAAGACAGCCAGCCCAGTCGCCAGAATAAATGTTCTGTACTGTATTTTTCTGGAAACCATGGATATGTTATCTTATATGTTTCATATATATCATATCAACGTAGTTCAGATTACATGTTTATGAGCTGAGTTTCTCATCGGGGGCAGATGGTGTGAGACCTATGCAAGTCGGCTGCCAAGAAGTAGACCACTGTTTGAGACCAACAAACAACACAAGTGGGTATTTTTAACAAGACGTCGGGACATTTCCAGCCGTGTCTGTGGCAGAAAAAAGACAGTGTTTTTAATGATACATCGGGACATTTCCAGCCAGGATCAGTCTGGGAACAAAATTTGGCCTTGGCAATTTCCCTCTGGCCCGGCAAGTGCAAGCCTGTTTCCAGCTGTGTTTGTGGCGACAAAAGCGGGCATTCTTAACAATGCATTGGAAAGTGAGACAGGTGCCAAACAAGCTGACAAGTAGTAGGCTATCGTTCAAGACCAACAAACAATGTGGGTAAGTGGGTATTTTTACAAGATGTAGGGACATTCCCAGCAGTGTTTGTGGTGACAGAACAGGTTTTTTTTTAACAAGACCTCAGGAAATTTCCAACTGTATTTTTTGGCAATAAAATCATGTACTTTTAACAATACACCAGGACATTAGACAGCTTCCAAGCAGGCTGCCAAGTAGTAGACCACTGTTTGAGACCAACAAATAAAAAAAGCAGATATTATTAATGACATGTTAGGACCTTTTCAGCCATGTTTCTGGCGACAGAAGCAGGCATTTTTAATGACATGCTGGGACATTGCCGGTGGGTTTTTTTTAGACGACACGTCGGGAAATTTCCATTTGTGTTTGTGGGGACAAAAGCAGGCATTTTTAATACCATGTTGGGACATTTCCAGCCATGTTTGTGGTGACAAAATCTGGTATTTTTTAATGATACTTCAGGATGTTTCAAGCTGTGTTTGTGGCAACAAAAGCGGGGATATTTGGTGGTTGTACCAGCCAGCTGTTTTTGGTAAATTATTCATTGACTGATGTGCAGATAAGTACAGTGGAGTCAATCAATCTGTTAGTGGGGTGACTTCTTTTTACCCATGCTAGAGGTGTGTCGTTGCAAAAGGTGGATGTATTGTTCTGTCAGTTCACTTAAGTCTAGACTTAAGTATCTCAACAACTGTTCAATGAATTGCCATTCATTTTTTAACAAACATTAATGGTGAGTCAGAGTGACTTTGACAAACTTTCACTTATCCTGTGACACATCCAGTTGATGGATTGACACACAGTTTTTTTACATTAATGGTTATTAGATATTGAATCCTCACGACTTTGGTGAACACCTGACTTTTCCTGCAGTGCTAACATGAGGTGGACATTTTGGATTTTTAGTCAAATACCTTATATTGGTTAGACTGTCATTAAATTTGATAGACACACCCATATATCCCCAACATTGAACTGTATATCTTTGGTGATACACTGAGATTTCCTCAAGAGTCATCATCATTTGTCCAATACTTTGATTAATGACCAAATACCTGCACAAACCAATGACAGCCCCATCAGCCCCAGCTTTACTTTGTGTTTAGTCGGGATGGCCATTTTAAGTGATAAATTCCTATTCAAGTACTCGCAATAAATTATTACAGAGTACTTGCCAAAAATTAAAAAATAAACATAAGAATAGGAACACCCAAGTGAATGGATGAGGTTAGGGTTAGCATATCTTTCTGTGCTGCACAGACTGAAGAGATTAGCCATGAATTTAACCTAACATAGCTTGCACAAAACATTCATTTTGTTTATTTTGCTGAAATGCTTGCAAACACCCCTCTTATGCTTGGTCACCATTTTGCCTGTAACATTAGATGATGTTTGACTGAAAACACTGAATGTTATTTGCAGCTGTGTAGATCTGTCATTTTTGCTTTATGGATCTGTGCAGATAACAGTTACATCACTGCATCCCATCCAAAGAAATATAAACTTATCTTAATATACAGGGTCAGTTTATGTATACGTATATGTTTAACGAATGTTATTACTCTAAAACTGACGTGCAAATTGAGTACCTGAGTACCCATGCCTATGCCTTGTGTTTAGTGCTAATTATTAAATGCTAGCATGCTAACACTTTAACTAAGATGCTGATCATGGTGAACAACATACCAGCTAATTATCAGCATGTTAGCATGCGGACATTAGTAGTTAGCCTGAAGCCCTAATGCTGCATAAGTACAGCCTCACAGAGCTGCTAGCACAGCTGCAGACGGCGTTTTGTTTGTGTTACACCCACTCCTGAGAAACTAACTCATAAAACATACTCACTATTTTTCTTGAATGTCAGATCTATTATCTTATTAATAGCTCTCGCGGGTCGTTCTGGCTGTTCACAAACATGTTGTTAACAAACACAACCCCCAAGCGAGCATGTCACACTTCACCAACACACACATTATGCATGATTTGGCATGATTTCTCTATTTTTATCTGCCTCTGTTGTCTTCCAGTAGCCATAAAGGCCTTGGTAGAGGCCAAAGGTAAAGCTAACAAGGAAAGGCTTGGTTAAACAGTTGGTGAAATTTTCCTCCTGGAAAGAGACCCACAAGCAGCATATATCAGCAAGTGAAAGGTCATTACTGTGTATATGCAAAGGTACAGGGTGCTGTATAAACTAGTCTGGCACTGGAGGACAGCCAGTGTTGCTGCGTAGCTTTCCAAGAATGGTCGTAATGGCAACTGTGCGCCATTTGGTGTCTGGCGTGGCGAGAGCGAGGCGAGGAAATGAGGAGTGTTGCTGAGGAGCATTTTGACGATGCGGGTTGCATATTGCTGAGCTGCGTTGTCAGGGTGTGCGTAAGCAAGGGCGCTTGACACTGATGTGGACCTGAATGCAGGACAGGCAAAGCTGCAGGAGGAGTGCTTGTTTTGTCCCCCTGAGAAAAGTTTCTATCGATCTGTAGGTAGGCTGGGAGGAGGAGGAGGCGCAGACAAGCATAATGGTTAAGCAAGCAAAGCAGTTGCTGTACCTGCTCATCTCTCATTCCCGTCTGTCTCTTTTTTTGGGCTGGGATGTGTCTTTGTTCTTGTGTTTGAAGGTGGGTGTATCAATTCAGCTCCCACCTCCCCCTTATATCCCTCCTTCTCCCTCTCCACTGCGGTGTTCTCCTTCTGGGCTGTCTATCTGCATGCACACACACACACACACACTCTTCGTTCCCTCACACTCTCCCCCCCGTCGGTTCCTCCGTCTGTGTCTGCCGCCATCAGACGCAGGGACTGATAATATCTGCTCCAGCCCCCCTCTCCTCCTCCTATTTTTTGTACTCCTCCTCTCCTGCATCTCGCCCATTGTTTATTCACTTTGTGCATTAATTTACTCCTGTGTCTCGTACAGGACAGCCTTCCTTTCTCCTCAGTTTTAACCAACTCTAAAATCCAGGTTGGACTTTGCCTCCTCCTGTGGAGCTAAATTGTAGTTTCTCCTCTGAGTGTATCTTTATTGAGCCACCTCACTGATTGTTATCTGTATTCAGTTAGTGTCCAGACACGTCACTCTGCTCCCTGCACAGCAGGCTGCATGCATCCTCCCTCCTTGCATCACATTGCAGTGTAGTCCACTGTCTGAATTAGACATGACCTCCTGAGAAGCTGTGTGGAGTCAGAGTTGTTGTACAGTTTGAATATTAGCATGTGGCTCAGCCATGACTGTGAAAAAATCCTGGGAGGAACAAGGACGGGCTCTGTGAAGGGAGGAGCTGCTGTGGAAACCGCCCTGTCATTGGTAGCCTGTGTGCTCTGCGTGCCTGCAAAAGTCTGTCTGATTGGCTGGAGCCTTGCATTGAGCACAGCAGCTGCAGTTGTGAAGCACTACCCTCCCTCTCTCCCTCTCTTTCTGCCCTGTCTCTCCTTTTTCCTACTTCTTCCCTTCACATTAATAACTGTCTGGGAATCATCAGTGTCGACCACACACGTGCCAGCCGGTGCGACTTCAAGGACACGGCTTTTCACAGTATATTGCAGCATGATTCATGTCAAGTTAGTCAATTACTTTCTGCTCCATGCAGCTCAGGGGAGCTGAAGTGACGTCTCTGTCCTGCCTGCAATCTCCCTCTATCCCCTCTCCCTCTTTCTCTCTCTCTCTCTTGTATCACTTAATCAAGACATAGCTTGCCCTTTCCTGTTCATTGCTGCTTCCCTCCCTCCCTGCTCTGCTCCCCTATTTGTTTGTCCTCGCTTGATTCTCTTTGGCTCTCTCCCTTCCACCCTCCTGCCTCGTGGTCCTCATCGCCCTCCGTTTAAACAAGCTCCGCACGAGGTTGTAGCTCCACATTAACAGCATTTTTCTCCTTCAACAGGCTGCTGTATTTTTGTCAATGCTTTGAATTAATGTTCTGTTTTTTTACGTCCACAGCGAGACAGCAAGCAAGGACATGCAGAAGAGAGGTCAGTGAGGAGGATGACAACAGAAGAATAGACGATGGTGAAGGAGGGATGAGAAAGAGACTGAAATAAGAGGAGGAAGTGGAACTCCAAAGTGCCTACTGCGAGGGGTCGTCTGCTGCTGTTTAGCTGCTGGATGAGAGCAGGACGGGGCTCAATGTGTGTTTGGCCTTGAATGGAGGCTATATTTTATCCTGACAGCCACAGAGTCATCCATCCCACGTTGCTGAGCTGCAGTCCCCACATACTGAGCTGAGCCTCCACCTCATCTCATCACTGCAAGAACGCCATTCCTATAAGGTTTTGAAATCTTCTCTCTCAGGCCGTTCAAACACAACTACAGCGACTGCCCCAGCCTCGGCCATGTTGACGTGAATGTAACCGTGACTTATGGTGGGCGTCAGACGATTCAGGTGAAGGCACAGACTCTCAGTGACACATGCCAGAGTGATGTCCTCAGAGTAGCTTCTGTTTTTTTCTTCTTTTTTTTTCTCTACGAGACAGAGCTGGCCTCTGCTCACAGTCTACTCCCTCTATCTCAAACTTCAGCTGCCACTTTTCCCAGGAAGAACTAATAAACAACCCCAAAAATACACCAACCAAAAGGACCTGCTGCCTATTAGGAAAAACTGAAAATATTTTTGCTTCTGTTTCTGTTTCGCTGGGGATTTTTTTTTTTTTTTTTGCATCACTATTAGTCACCCTTGCTCTCACCGGACAGTTTTCCGTCCATCTGCCCTCGCCGCCGCTTAGTGCTTGTGAGCGACTCTGATGGCTGTCAGCATGACCATGGGACGGGACACCAAATGGCTGACCCTGGAAGTGTGTCGTGAGTTTCAGAGAGGCACCTGCTCGCGGTCTGATGCCGAGTGCAAGTTTGCTCACCCCTCCCGGAGCTGCCATGTGGAGAATGGCCGAGTCATCGCCTGCTTTGACTCGCTCAAGGTAACAGCGCAACTGACATTATACGTCTTGTTTGTTTAGACACACGCATTGTGATCCGTGTCAGGTTAGCTGATGCTTTTGGCCATGTTGACACACAACACACACAGATACACACAGACCAGGGTTTCCTGTTGTGGTTTATAGCAGTGTTTCAGGAGAAGTGGCCCATCTCTGCTATAAATATATTTAATGAGTGTGACTATCATTAAGGGTGTCATCTACAAACTCAATTGTCTGAGAGAGAAGATGCGTCAGGATGCGGGTGGCTCACCACCTCAGCTAAACAATTTCCTGGAAACATTGCAAACTATGTCAGTTGGTCAACTGATCCACCCTTTTAACCCACACTTAGATTTTCCCTTATTTTATCAATAATTCTGTGGTTTTTGATATTGTGAAATATGATGAACAAGTTTGTTGCCTTTATTAACAATTTAGAAAGTCACTCAGCAAATGATATTTTAATGAACTTGACTGTCATCATGTAGTCTTAAGTGATTTTAACTCAGGATATGGATATGGATTAAGTCTTATTTTGTGATAGCAGTATATTATGATACAGAACATTTAAGACTAATGCTGAAATATCTACATGTGACTTGTTTTGGTACTTTTTTTCCTCCAAAAGTGCAGTAAAGGATTATAATCCAATGCACTTTGTTAAAATCTGGGAATATCTACTCATAGTCCACTAGCTGTCCATTTATACACAGCCCTGGCTCTGCAAAGCTCCTTTCCCACTGGACAAAAACCCGCAGACACCCATGGAAAAGAAAATGATTACCATTCATTCCAGGTACAAATGACTCTGCAGTAGTCACAGGTATTTATCGGCTCCAGCTCTGATCGGCCCAGATCGGCAGTGATGGAAATGCATTCATTTTGGCCCATTTGACGACACTACGCAGTGCAACCCTACACACTGCCACAAAATATCGTCCATCTCTGTCCAGGCAGCCTCAAGCATTGTTCAGAATTAGTTGGCACGGAGTTTAAGAGAGACTGAATAAGCAAGAAAAATGAAAAAGATGTAACCACCGTAACATTTTCACTGGCGTCCATTTCATCTGGTAACTAACCTGTCCGTGACGTTGAATGTGACACACCAGAAAAAAAAAAAATAGAAGGCATACTTGTCTATCTACTGGCAATGGGAAAGCAGCCTATCGCCTACTTTTATGGGTTTTCTTGCATTTAAAACCTGAATACACGCAATAATTTTGGTGTTGAAAGAATATAAATGTGGAAAAAAAGAAAGTGGCTGGAACTGAGCTACACAAAGCTAATCCAGCCGGTCAGCAACAGAGGGCGTTGATGCACACAACAGGGTAAAGGCCATGGATATGGCTGTATAAAAAGAATGCCAGTGGGAGCGAGAGGGGCCGTTAAATGCTGTAAATGACTGGAGGGGTGTATTTGTTTAGGTGTTGAGTTCAAATATCAACAGTCTTTCTCCAAAATGGCCGACTCCACCTTTAAAGGTTATTTTTGCCTTTAGTAGACAGCGTATTTTTGAGAGACAGACAGAGAAGGGGGAGAGAAAAGGGGAGGAGAGGGGGAGTGCAGCCTTTAAGCAGTTTTACTCATTGATTTGCGACATTGTCTGCAATGATGTAATACATTCAGATATATTAAAGGAATAGTTACCACAGTATAAATGGTATTGAAAGGTCTCTGGTGGTGGACAAATTTTATCTCATGGTATATGTAAGGGATAACACCCGACAAGTTACATGTTCCATGACTGTCATGAATGTAGAATAGCTAATGTTATTTCAGAAGTTCTCACTTTCCTCCTAATGTGGACCTTCAGACCTTGCTTCTAATAAAAATCCTGCGTCACAGATGTCCAGTTATCATGTCAGGTCATTAAAAGTTAATTCACACCTTCAAGCCAATCAGAATTCAAGATTTTATTGTCATATTGCCCAACCCTAATTTTAAATAGGCAAGTTCTCTAAAAATAAACACATATACATACGTATAACACTGTCAGAGTCTGTCTTCTGGTTATCAAGATATTTATTGTTTCCATTTTGCCCGGGCGTGATGGAAATTTTCCGTAAAGCCACATTGCCGACAGTCTGTCCGTCCATCAGTGATGCGGGCTCGTCGATGGTGCTGCTTCAACATCACTTAAGCTGCTCTCCTGACTCTCGTCTCCTCCACAGAACCACAACACTAGCTCCACTCATACACAGTGGGAAAAAAAACTAATAGTCTGAGAAGTGACGATGCTTCACTGTATTTCAAAAGAGCTCCGTCTATTGATGGCCGATTGCGCTAAAATCGAGAATAGGCTGCTGCTGTTGTCGACGGCGTGTGTGTTTTTGCTCGACCAGCTTTCATGCAGAGAAAAAAGTGAGACCCAGACAAGGAGCTTTCTGTCTGAGTGCAGCTGCTGTCTCCTCGTTTATTGAGTTAGAATTTATTATTCAGCCATTTTTCTGTGTTATGTCCTCTAGAGCAGGAGGGAGATGGAGAGGGAGAGAGAGGGAGAGAATCAGAGAGGGGGGCCTAGCAACAGCACAGGAGTGCGTACCCATTGGATAGTTTGATCTTCCTGAGTGGCACGGCTGTTTTTAGCACAGAGCAACAGCCTGGCTCTGTACTGGTTGCATTGATGGGAGAAAGGGACGAGCAGCTTTGTACCAAAGGCAGTGAACAAGCATTAAAGGCCATGTTCGGTTGTTTGAAGCCCTGGGGTCATGTCGTTAGAGAAAGAACTGAAGTTGATGACAGTTGAAGGTCAAAGCGGCTTTCTTTATCAGGAGCTGCAGTGGGGCTTTAATACCAGTGCAGTATGTCAACAACCACCTCTTTACAGCAGCGTTTCTGTCCCCATTGTTGTTCAGGATTATTCTCAGCTGACAGCCGTTGTTTTTGGTCGACTGACTGGAAAAAACAAAGAAGCACCACGTTCGAGCCGCTCTAGAGCATCACTCCTTCCTCCCGCTCTCCGCCCACCCCTCCCTTCTTTGTTAATTTTATGGATTTATCTGCTAATGGCCTCCCTCCTCACCGTCCCTCCCATATCTGGCATCTCTGGCCTGGTCCGAGCAGCGATTGCTGTTGCTCGCTGTTAGCTCCGTCTAAACCTGCTCCAGGGGAGGGAGGGGAGGAGGTGGGGGGGGGGGGGGGGATGATCACCGCCTAGTTCTTTTTACCTTGTTAACTGGAGTGCTATTGTCATTTCAAATGATTAGTGTGGACATCACATCTGCCCCACGTACAGCAGATTCAACAGCAGTGTCACTTTTGGATGACATCATGGTAGAGCTGCAACTAACACTTATTTCATCGTTGATTAATCTGTAAAATACTTTGTCGATTAATAGATTAACACAGAAAATAGAGAAAAATGCGCAACACAAGTACTTATAGACAAAGACAATGACTTTAAAAAGCTGCTTTTGTCAAACAACAGACCCAAAGATGCTCAGATTACTATCACATGAAGGCTCAAAAACACCAAACTGACATCAAAGAAGTAGTGGCGATGAAGGCCGACTGTTGCATCATCTGTGTCTCGGCCAAAAAGTTGCACCCAACAAGACTACAGCTAACGGCCAGCTAGCACATATGTTGTGCACCTGCATGAGTGGAAATAACTCTCCACTCCAGCAGACAGTGGTAGTCTGTATTTATCGTTCAAAAAGGGAAACCAGTAGACCGACAGCATGAATTCATGACACTAGTTAGCCACTTAGCACATTAGCAACACAACCAGATGTTGAAAGAACAAATTATATTTACTGTGCGCTACCGAACAATAACAGAAATAGTTGCAAACAGTTTCTGCTGAAGAACTCAGTAGCTAAAAAAAATAATCTTGCCAGGGATGCTGAGTAACTCACCTGTTTCGCCATTTGTTTGCTTTCCTCATTGACGGGCTCTGCCAGGCCCAAAAAAGGCAGACAAGGGCCTAGTGGCACCAACGGTGTGGGACATACCGCAAATACTAAGGCGATAGATGCTCACGTACGGCATGACAGTGGCTGACGGCCAACCGTCGGCTTGCTGTTGGGCCCTAAGACAAAGAAAAACAGGAAATTTTTGCATTAAACCACAATATTTGTTTTGTTTTTTTTACACGAACAAGACCTAATGGCCGCCCACACCAAGAATAAAAAAATCATTCTGTCTCAAGTGGATGGCAGAGTTCACACTGACACTGGCAGATGATATCATTGGGATCACTTGAGTGATTTAATTAATGACAGAAACACTGACAGCCAATTAAAATCCATCTTAATTTACCAAGCATTGCGTTTAACAGGGAAGAGACTCGTCATTGGGTTTCAGTCGTTCATCAGTGTGAATCCTCACATTGTCATTGTTATAGTAATCGTTCTTGGTGTGAACAGCCCGTAAGAGTTGCTAGAATCTCTGTGAGGCTCTTCAAAAGGTCAGGGGATCACCAAAGTGATTATGAGTCATCGGCTGAGTACGGTAGATGATTGTACCAAATTTAATGGCAGCTCATCAAATTTTTATTGAGACATTTCACTAAAACCCTAACATGTCAGCTTTGTGGTGAAGCTAGATAAAAACTCACCAAAATCAGGAGGATTCATCTTCTGAAGACAACGAATGTTGGAACGAAAATACATCTAAATCCATCCAGTAGTAGTGACGAGATTAGGACATTCAGGACTGCTGCTTTTTAGAAGTCATCACCTACTCCTAAAAGTAGAGCGGAGCTGGAGAGACTGTTTGACTACGGTAGCAACACAACTGCTTTCTTGCCACTGCATTGTTACTGCACCATGCTAAAACCAGATGAACAATTTTTTGGATTGTTTTATTGTTTGGATATTTCAGATTGAAAGTGTTTGACAGATTGATGTTGCCATCTCTAAAATCAAACATTAATATCATAGCATTGCTTTCTGTTTTCTTCAGAGCGCACAAGCTACCAAATACAATGGACACCTTCTTTTTTTTATACTGTTACTTCGGTTGAACCACCATTATTTCATCTACTGAGGACAGTAACT